ATGTAAGGATCTTAAGTTTTACTAACGTTTATTTTTATTTAATCTTTACTATCACTTCTTATTTCTACTTCCGGCCAGAATTAAAAGCTTTAACTATTTATGCAAATTTGTCTTGCCGAACGCCAGTGTACTTAAGTTGTGGCTTTTGCCAAGCAGAGAGAGAGGAGGAGTTAGTCGAAGCAGGCCGCTTGCCTTAGCAGTTTTACTCGGTTGTTGGTTGCCTTCCAGGCCAGAAGTTTAATCCTCTTGATAATTTTAAAACGTAGTGTAGTGTTAACAGTTCTCTGTACTACATGGTTTTGTTAATATACGGCCAATCTTCCACGTAGGCCCTGTTATTATTCCAAAGTTAAGTTAGAGATAGTTAATATTTTTATATTCTTACGTTCAGACCACAAAGTGTTGGTCTCTGTATTTCGAAGTCCGGAAATTATTGTAAGAGTGAAAATAAAGGGTTCGTATACCCTTCCTGTGTATCTTGTCTATCCCACATTTATTGAATATAGCTTTAGTAGCTCCCTGTCCGAGTCAGGTTTTGAATGTTCCCAAGCAAGTAAGGAGAAACCTGAACCTGATACCGTAACCAAAAAATTTTTTTTCTTCCTAAAAATTAAAGTGAATCTTTCGACCAAAAAAATCTAAATGAAGTTTTTCCACTTTTCAAAATCAAAATGTAAATTTTTCCCCTACATTTTATTTAAATGGGTTTTCCCATAGACAAAATAAAGTGGAGATTTTCTCCCAAAAAAAATTAAAAGTGAAATTTTTTCCACCTAAAATATCTAAATGAATTTTTTTCGACTTTTCAAAATCAAAAGTGGAGATTTTTCTCCCTAAAAAAAGTAGAAACTTTTTCGACTAAAAAAATCTAAATGAATTTTTTTCGACTTTTCAAAATGAAAATTAAATTTTTCCCTTACATTTGAATTAACATGGGTTTTCCATAGGAAAACAAAGCGGAGATTTTTCTCCCTAAAAAAAATTAAAGTGAAATTTTTTCGACCTAAAAAGTCTAAATCAATTTTTTTCGACTTTTCAAATCAAAGTATAAATTTTCCCCTTACATTTTGAATTTAAAACATGGGTTTTCCCATAGACAAATAAAAGTGGAGATTTTTCTTCCTCAAAAAATTAAAGTGAAAATTTTTCGACGTAAAATCTAAAGAATTTTTTTTACGTTTTTAAACTCAGTGTAATTTTCTAACTACATTTTGAATAACATGGGTTTTCCCACAGACGAAATAACAGTGGATTTTTCGTCTTAAAATTTGAAGTGAAAATTTTTCCAATATATTTTTCTGCTTTTCATGCCATTACATTCCAATGAAATTTGATTCATTGCCAGATAGTTAAACGTTTGTTATTTTTTTTTTTCACATCCGAATGAATTTCGTGTCTCACATATGCTCATTCCAACTAAGTTAGAAGTTTTAAGTGAAGTCTTCGTGAAATACTTACATTTCATTGAAAAGTATCTTCATTTGAATCCTCTATGTTCTTTTTCCTGCATTCCAAGTAAAATTTTTGCATAAAGTTTTCATTTCGATGGAAGTATTTGCGACGACTATGATGTTATCGTGTTTCCATAAACCTTTTGAAAACTTTGAGTATTGCCAATTTTTAATGTTACGTCCACTGCAAATCATTTAATTTTCAAATATTTTCTTATTTATCTTTTACATTGCCTTGTAAAGACTCGGAATAAATTTTTATTAAGTAGATATATTGTTGATTTAATAACGTTTGGAAGATTTTAACTTCAATAACACTACACGCTGAATCAGAAATTAACAAAAGGAATGGATATTTTTATCTTAGTATACTATGGGAATAAGACTGTTAACTCCCTCATAAGAAATATTTTCTCGAAGTTACCAAGAATCACTGACTTGCACTATCATAGATTTTTCTCATGAAATTTATTTCTTTCTTAAGAGAAGTTTTATATACTAATTTCATTGAAACATGTCTAAGAAAATATATGACATCATGAGAAACATCAGCACCTTGATTTAAATTACTACGAAACTAAGATCATTGTTTTGTAAAATGTTTCTCTTTGACTAAAAGTTTTTCTTTATCATATTATATTCAATGAACAACTAACCGTACATATCTATTATATTGTATTGATGAACCAGTGTTATATTTTAACTTATTGTATTACATATTAAATGACTACGAGAAGAAAGTCATGTTTTTCCCCTCATTGCTCATTTTAAGTAGAATTTTACTATCACACATGTGTTTATTGCACTTTTTGATAAAATCTCAAAGGCTGAAATGAGTGTTTCATTATCAAATTTGTACTTTCCGACTTCATTCTACTGAAACGGAAACATTCATAAGTTATTGCGAAGAAAAATTTTTCATTTTGTACCTTTTGATTAATTTTCATACCACTTGATTATCTTTGAAAATTTGCTTCCTAGTCCAGTGCTAATATATTGCTAATTTTCGCTTTTTCAGTGCCTTTCGTATGTGACATAAACTCAGTTTACAACTTTTTCTTACTTAACACCTTGCATTGCATTGCTGAACCGGGCCATGCTTTCATTTTTATTACATATCATGCGAATATTATAAAAAAGGCACATTTTTTCCTTCTGTTAGCACAATTTGAACGAGCATTTTACTATTACAGAGACTTCTTTAGTAAAATCTCAACGTTAAACTAAACGTTTCATTACTAATTTTGAATATTCTGGAAATATCCTACTTAAACCTTTATAACTGGTTACCAAAATAGTTTATACATGCACTCCGTTATACTCTTGGTTAATTTAAAATTGTTTTTCATCTATAGCACTTGATTTCTAATGAAGTATCGAAATGATTATTAACAATCTGCTTTTCGCGAAGAATTTCTTAGATACATGTGTTCAATGCAGAAAAATTTTCTAACTTATCAGTATTATTACCAAAATGGAATGCAAAATTTCCCTAAAAATGCATGCATTTATTTCTTTAAAACCACGTACAGAATATCCACATTTAATAATTCAATGAGTATTTTTCTATATCCGAACGAAAATTTTTAAATAATGTCATGTTCCATAAAATTTATGAATTTGTGATGTCGTTGATGTTTTGCAAACGCTTTGAGAGAGTGTGCTCTCGGTACTCTTTTAAACACTTCGAAACTGCTTTCTCTTTGCTATTGGAAACTATTTTATCTTTGCTATTGATATATGCCAATGAATTCTCGATACTGTTTCTTGTTTATCTTCAGCTTATGAATAATTTAAGTACTTAAAAATATATTTGTAGATCATTTATGTTGACACTTGTGATAGATTTCCTGGATGTGGTTTTGGAAAATGTATATTTTCCCGTGAATGAAACTGATTCTTAAAATTTTATTATTCAGAGTATTACTCAATTATGATAGAATGCCGGATTTGTTCCCAGTATTCAACATTCATATGAAGTTCAGTATTCTAAATCTCTCACATAACTTTAATTTTTCCTATCAATAATAAGAAGACGAATGGAATAAATGCAGGTTATGGAGACATAAGGTAAAAATGTGGATGTAAAAGAAATTCTTCAGATCAAGGCAATTCAGTAGAATGTGCAAATATTCATCCTATTCGAAGCTTATTTTTGGAATTACATAGCATAAAAATTAAATTTACTGAAAAGAGATGTAACGAAGATCAATTACTCTGCAAAAATCTAGACGGTAATTATACAAAACTAGTTATATGAAGGTTTCTCATAAAAGCGGTTCCAGCGAAGAAAACATGCCAGCAGTTTCCTAAAACTTTAAGTGGGCGTCTGATCTTCGCTCTTACGTAGAATCTTCAATTCTACTTAACTTTTGTAAGAGCAAAGATCAAGCGTTTTACCTTATGTCTCCATAACCTGCATTTATTCCATTTGTCTTCTTATTATTGATAGGAAAAATTTAAGTTATGTGAGAGATTTAGAATACTGAACTTCATATGAATGTTGAATACTGGGAACAAATCTGGCATTCTATCATAATTGAGTAATACTCTGAATAATAAAATTTTAAGATCAGTTTATCACGGAAAATTAATTTTCAAACCACACGGAAATCTATACAAGTGCAACATAATGATCTACAATATATTTAATATTAATTATCATAAGCTGAATAAATCAAGAAACGTATCGGAATATTGGCATATATCATAGCAAAGATAAAATAGTTCAATCCAAAGAGAAACAGTTTGAGTGTTTAACCATAATGCAAATTTTATTTCATCAATTTTTATTTTATTTCTGTTAGTTTACATCTAAATAATAAGAAAAACATGTTTTTCTCATAAATGCGTCAATTTTTTTTTCAGAAATTTTAAATTTAAGTCCGATCCCCAAATGGGGATCATGGCTGATACTATCTACTTTTAATGCGTTCAAAACAGTCTACGTGTAATCCAACATTACATTTTCCACATTGTTTTCTTGCATTTGTTTTGCACACTGCACATTTTCTTTGTTTACCATTTTCGGTCCGTTTAATATAATGATTACCAGACGTTCTGATAACAGTAGGAACACGATTAATTGATGCTTTAGTGAAAGAATGCCTTCCACCTTTTTTTTGCATCTGAGAGTTCTGAAGATAAAGCAAGATATCCTCTAGCAACCATCCTCCTAAAATCTAGCAATGGAATTTTATCATTTGAAATACAATACAGTGCGTGGGCGTTAACCAGTGTTACGTCGATGGCATTAGTAAGCAAAGGAAAATACCATTTCCCCCCCCCTTATTCTGATTCTGTATTTTTGAACATTCCAATCCATCTTGTCTACTCCACCCATGTATTTGTTATATTCTGATATCAGTTTGGGTTGTGGTACTTGAATATCTTTCTTCTCTGTTCTACTCCATCGCTTCACCTCTGATATTGGTTCGATAGTTTCATGATTAGACAGAAGCCTTGCACAACTGTTGTTATTCCACGTGACAGCTAAAATTTCATTACGGAAATCAAATCTGTAGTCATATGCCCCGCGTTCTTTTTTCCTTATCTCTTGTCTGTTGCAATAGGGCATTTGTTCATTCTTTTGAATCGAACAGTTCCTGTTGCTCTAACGTCAATGTCCTGCAAATGTTTCATCAGAGAAAATCCTGTGAAAAAATTGTCGAAGTAAACTTTATGAGCATTTGGTGTCTGAAGAATAGATACCATCTGAAGGACAACAGATGTCCCAAGCCCACTGATGCTTTCATCATCTCCTAATTTCTTTGATTTGCCTTCATACACTTGAGTCTGATAACAATATCCAGTCTGTGAACAACAGATAGTCCATTGTTTGAACCCAAACCGCACTGACTTACCACGTATAAATTGTTTGAGGTAGTGATGTCCATAGTAACGAACCATTTGTTCGTCAATGCTCAAACTTTCAGAAAACCCCCCAAATTGTTGAAATTTGTCATTCAGCTTGTCAATCAATGGGCGAATCTTGAAGAGGCTATCACGTTCACCTAGTGGAATCCTTTCTAAATCGGAGTTGTCACTGATATGTAGGAACCGTTTAATTTCCAGATACCTATTCCGACTCATGCATGCTCTAACACACAGAATGTTCATGTCTTCATCTTCACACCAATATAATTGTTCTTGCGAAAAGTGAATGATAGCCAGTGAAAAAGAAGTATTCCAATAAATTTTTAGGCAGTTATTAGAAAGCTGAAATTGATGATTGTTTTTCTGTCTGGCGTATATTACAGACTGCTGGACAATATAGGTGACAGTTTCATTATCAAAAAGTATTTCAAAACACTCTACCGGGGATTTTCCCCTGAGGTTTTCTAATGACATCATTTCGCCTTGTCTCTATAACGTCAGAATTTTCATATAGTTTCGAGTACTTAGGGTTTGCTTCTTTTTTTCCAATTGGAAGTCAATACTTCTTTTCTCTTTTTAGCAGGTGGTAAGCCGGTACCTTTTGTTACTTCATTTGCTGAAGATTCAGTTGCATTCACTAAAACATTTTCCTCAAATCCTGCCACACGGTGAATTTCAACACACCCGGGAACATCAAGTGGTTCTTCATCATCAATTACGTTGTCATCCATGTCCTCATTATCTGAAATCTCATCAACCCGCTCTGGTGGAATTTCAACAATATCTATGGGGCTATTATCGTCGTCATCGTCAGATGCAAAAAAATCATCAGAATTTACAATTTCTTCTATTTCTTTTAAAGAAAGATATCTTTTACGCGACATTTCCTGGAAAAAAAAGAAAAAAACAGTTTTTTTTTTTACAATTTTAGTCAGTATCAGCCATGATCCCCAAATGGGGATCGATATATCTAGGTTCATTGTACCCATCCAAATTACAGTATGAGGATAAATAATATATAAATACATTAATTACTTACCAATGATCAAGGGAAAATTCAGTACAAACAAAAATAATTGTTCCTAAGTAACTTTTTTGTGCTTTGAAAATAACTGTATTATTTTTCTCGCGAAAAGTAACGAGAGAGCAAGAAAAATAAACTCGTGAGCTCAACTAACTGAGTCCACGTGTTTGTTTAAGATTTCTACCCTTAGTTTCAATCTTCAGGAAAGCATGACCACCCGTAAGGGACCACCCAGGTACAGCATGACGTCACAATGTATACAAATGTAGGCGATCCCCATATGGGGATCATGGCAGGGAATGGGTTAAAAGAGTACCGAGAGCACACTCTCTCAAAGCGTTTGCAAAACATCAACGACATCACAAATTCATAAATTTTATGGAACATGACATTATTTAAAAATTTTCGTTCGGATATAGAAAAATACTCATTAAATTATTAAATGTGGATATTTTGTACGTGGTTTTAAAGAAATAAATACATACATTTTTAGGGAAATTTTGCATTCCATTTTGGTAATAATACTGATAAGTTAGAAAATTTTTCTGCATTGTACATGTATTTACGAAATTCTTCGCGAAAAGCAGATTGTTAACAATCATTTCGATACTCCATTAGAAATCAAGTACTATAGATGAAAAATAATTTTAAATTAACCAAGAGTATAACGGAGTGCATGTATAACCTGTTTTGGTAACCAGTTATAAACGTTTAAGTAGGATATATCCAGAATCTTCAAAATTAGTAATGAAACGTTTAGTTTAACGTTGAGATTTTACTAAAGAAGTCTCTGTAATAGTAAAATGCTCGTTCAAATTGTGCTAACAGAAGGAGAAAATGTGCCTTTTTTATAATATTCGCATGATATGTAATAAAAATGAAAGCATGGCCCAGTTCAGCAATGCAATGCAAGGTGTTAAGTAAGAAAAAGTTGTAAACTGAGTTTATGTCACATACGAAAGGCACTGAAAAAGCGAAAATTAGCAATATATTAGCACTGGACTAGGAAGCAAATTTTCAAAGATAATCAAGTGGTATGAAAATTAATCAAAAAGTACAACATGTACAAATTTTTCTTCGCAATAACTTATGAATGTTTCCGTTTCAGTAGAATGAAGTCGGAAAGTACAAATTTGATAATGGAACACTCATTTCAGCCTTTGAGATTTTATCAAAAAGTGCAATAAACACATGTGTGTGATAGTAAAATTCTACTTAAAAAATGAGCATTTAGGGGAAAACATGACTTTCTTCTCGTAGTCATTTAATATGTAATACAATAGTTAAAATATAACACTGGTTCATCAATACAATATATTAGATATGTACGGTTAGTTGTTCATTTAGAATATGATAAAGAAAAAACTTTTGAGTCAAAGAGAAACATTTTTACAAAACAATGATTCTTAGTTTCGTAGTAATTTAAATCAAGGTGCTGATGTTTCCTCATGAATGTCAGATATTTTCTTAGACATGTTTCAAATGAAATTAGTATATAAACTTCTCTTTAAGAAAGAAATAAATTTCATGAGAAAAATCTATGATAGTGCAAGTCAGTGATTCTTGGTAACTTCCAGAAAATATTCTTTATGAGCTGAGTTAACAGTCTTTATTCCCATAGTATACTAAGATAAAAATATCCCATTCCTTTTGTTAATTTTCTGATTCAGCGTAGTAGTGTTATTGAAGTTAAATCTTCCAAACGTTATTAAATCAAACAATATATCTACTTAATAAAAATTTATTCCTAAGTCTTTACATGGCAATGTAAAAGATAAATAAGAAAATATTTGAAAATTAAATGATTTGCAGTGGACGTAATATTAAAAATTGGGAATACTCAAAGTTTTCAAAAGGTTTATGGAAACACGATAACATCATAGTCATTCGCAAATAACTTCCATCGAAACTGAAAACTTTATGCACAAAATTTACTTGGAATGCAGGAAAAAAAATCATTAGAGGATTCAAAATGAAGATACTTTTCACCATGAAATGTACAGTATTTCACGAAGAATTCACTTAACTTCTAACTTGGTTGGAATGAGCATATGTGAGACACGAAATTCATTCGGATGTGAAAAAAAAATAACAAACATTTAACTATCTGGCAATGAATCAAATTTCATTGGAGATGTAATGGCATGAAAAGCAGAAAAATATATTGGAAAAATTTTCACTTTAATATTTTAAGACGAAAAATCTCCACTGTTATTTCGTCTGTGGGAAAACCCATGTTAATTTCAAAATGTAGTTAGAAAAATTACACTGAGTTTAAAAACGTGAAAAAAAATTCTTTTAGATTTTATAAGTCGAAAACGAAAAGTTTCACTTTAAATTATTTTAGGAAGAAAAATCTCCACTTTTATTTTGTCTATGGGAAAACCCATGTTAAATTCAAAATGTAAGGAGAAAAATTTATACTTTGATTTTTAAAATTCGAAAAAAATTGATTTAGACTTTTTTAGGTCTAAAAAATTTCACTTTAATTTTTTTTAGGGAAAAATCTCCGCTTTTGTTTTGCCTATGGGAAAACCCACATGTTAAATTCAAATTGTAAGGGGAAAAATTTTAATTTTGATTTTGAAAAGTGGAAAAAATTCATTTAGATTTTTTTAGGTCGAAAAAGTTTCACTTTAATTTTTTTAGGAAGAAAAAAAATTTTTTATTGGTTACGGTATACTTCATTCTCGCTCTAACCTTTTTTCTTTTGAGTTTGTAATATTTCTGAACCTGAATCTTCAGAAAACGAAATCATTCTGATTTATTAAATTCCTTCTAAGTGTAGAATATAGTCTCCAAACAGAATATTTTAGTATAAATAAATGCATTATAGACAAAAAATAAGATTAAAAATACTTTATTATTTTTCCGGCCCTATTCCTGAAACTGGTTAAGGTTCTTACTGCTGACTTATTCCATTCGGCACATTTTCAGAAAACATATTCATTCCTTGTTCATGTTTTCCATACTGAGACATTTTTTTCCCTTCTTATATGTCATATTTCACTATTGCTCTTTGGCTTGGTAGGAAGTTTTTTCATGGATATTGCATACCTCTCCTATGCGTCTGCGGTTGTTCTAATAAATTACATTACCAACTAGTGTAAATAATGTCTATAGATATATAGGTATTATCTTGAATGTTTGCTTAATTTGGAAAATGAAACAATGCAGCCCATGTGCTAAATAGGCCCTTAGAATGTCTTGCACGAATGCATTTTTTCATAGTCCTTTGCATACTTTACCGTTATTGTCAATTAGGTTCATTCCGTTCCTTTTTATCTGAAATTTGTGAAGCATTTCTGTTTGAATGCTTACATTGGAATTTTTCTTTTTTAAATTAACTCATACTAAATTGTATTAAAAGTTCATTTAAGTTATCAATGTTGGACCATGATATGGAGTTCATGTCAATATTATATGTCGTGTATGGTATTTATGTAAAATGATTTTTGATATCTGGGAAAAATTAATTTTTAGATGTACTCAAAGATCTGTAAGAACTCTAAGTAAAGTAAAGTAATGTTAGTTTAAAATGCTTATCTTCAGTTAAGTTCAATATATTAGAGTTAAGTTGGATTATTATTTGGAATTCATGTCAACAGTTCCTGTTGTGCAGAATTTTATTTGCTATGTCTCATAACTTAAAAATCCTTCTCAAAAAGCTGTAAGCGTTCAGTGTTTGTCAATTTGAAATGTATATCTTAAGTTAGAGGAATATATTGAAAAGTTTCTAGACTTGTAAAAATAATGATCATATTCTTTAAAAAAAATATTCCGAACTGAGACATTTTTATATTCTAAGTTGGGAAAAAGATGACAAAGTTTCACTTCCATGACTGAACATTAATTCCATGTGTACTGTAGACATCCTTTCGTTTTAGATGTTTTATCCAAATATGCCTCTATAGTGAATTTAAAATATTACATTACGATGTGGATATTCTTCTCTGTAGTTAAAAATTCTGTAGCTTGTTAAAAAATTATGACTGTGTTAAGTTCAAATATAGCAGTGTTTATGAAGGTCTGCGGTAAATGGTGATCACATTAAGAATCCGGGTGAAGTTTTCACATGATAGAAACCAAAATTTAATGTATATTCGGTGATTTAAATACAATACCTACAAGAAAATCCAAGATATTTTTGTAAAATATTTCAAAGAGTCAATCTGTGTTAGTAATGTATCTGAAACCTCCTGCTCAATAAAAAGGAGTGTTCTGAATATATTCATGTAAATGTCTATAGTGTAAAATAATATGAAATGAAATGCTGTTGGTACGTATTAAACTATGGTAGACAATAATAAGAAATTTTGTATTGTTTCGTATGTATTTGAACTAAACTGGCTAGAGATGTCCATATATTAGTTCAAGTAGATTTTGAAAATTTATTATTTCTGAATTAGAAGGTTTAATTCAAAGTCAGCAGATCTTTAAAAAATCCGTATATAAGTCTGTATTTATTTTTAGGGAAAAAAAGAATCAGAAATATTACCAGGGATATGTTTTAAAAACATGATAAAGGTTAAATGTAAGGCAAAATGTTCTAAATTGGAAAATAGAAAGTTTAAAAATTTACATTTGTTGACACGTTTCGTGAATCCTTTGAACATAAACGTAAGCTAAATGTGTAAAAGAGAATCCGCGACGTTTTTGTACAGTGTTTCAAAAAGTTAGTATAATACGTTAGAAGAGAAAGTTCGG